TCACTTCCATTATCAAATCATGTGAAAAGCAAAATCTTTTTCTTTCTTTCATCTGCACATGATTGGATAAGTTAGGTGAATCTTCACTCTTTGTGTGAACATTCTCCGCTTCTTAAATAAATCAGACTCATTGGGTTTGATTTACTAAAGGCATATTGGCTGTTCACTTTGCAAGGGAATTTTTACTTAGCTTAGTGAATTAGATGAAGCTCTGCTGACTTCAATCATCCAATCATGTGCAAGAAAGAATACTGTTTTTTTTATTTTATTTTACATGCCGTTTGTTGTATAAGATATGGAAGAATTTAGTGGGTTGGAAAGTTGTATGGAGAAATATATAATAACCATTTGTTTTTTTCTTCGACCAAAACTTTTTTAGCTATTTTGTTTTAACTAGGATGAAGTAACATGGGTTCCTTATCTATTTATCCTTGTGATCATCCAGTCTATGGGTGCATAATCTATCGGCTGGACAGTTAACTTTTGGGGCCCCAAACTGTGAGATATACTATTAATGGTATATATAACTATATACATGTATATGAACTTCCATTGAAAACCACGTCTTTTGAAGTCCCAGAACAGGAGCAATCTGAATCTTTGGATCCCTAAATACTGTCATTAGGGGGTCACAGTACTACTGCTCTGATCATTCAAGTGCTAACCTGAGAGCGCTGATAGTTTTGGAGTGGAGATGAATTAAAATTTATTTTAGATTTTTATTTCTGCCTGTGACTCCATTTGGGAGAATTGTCCTCGCTTCCTGTTATTATGACCATGCAAGACAATGAGGAGAGAAGCTATCAGAGGACAGAAAAGCATAGACAGCAATAAAACATTGTCAGAAGTTCTAACCATTCCTGTCTATTAAACATGTGCTTTTGTTTCAGTCTGTGCCTCTGCTGGAGAGCTTTTCTATCAATTTCCAGTGAAAGGAAACATTAAAGTCCTGACAGAGGCTCTAACTCCTCCAACTCCCATGAGGCATTACTCCAACACCCACAGACATGACTCCCAGTGGTAGATGCATGATGAGATTTGTATTTTACACAAGAGCTGGAGAGCTAGAGTTTGCCCATCCCCCTTCGCCTAAATCTTCCCTGCTATATCCAAAATGAAAGAATACATGTGTGGCTGGAGTTGGGCTATTTGTTTTCCAACCTTCACTAGTCAGATCAAAGACAAAATTTGCTTGATTGCTTTGGGCCACTTTTCCTTGCTTTGGCAGATTTCTGTATTTACATATCAACAGGAAAATGTAAGAGTTTTAGTATTAGTTGTACCTGACATTCACACACAATACGTTCTGACTGCATCTAAGTTCACAGGGGATTCTTCACAACTCCATCTGACATGTTTCATAGACAAGAACCTCCTTTTTAAAGATGGTTAATTTGCAATGACTTATCACTAAGAAATATATGTTAATAATTTACAGTAGTTTCCCTAGCTGTAATGTCATCTATGTATCCTGTTTTCCTGACATGTTGAAGAACTGGTAGGAGGAAACCATGTCTACTGAGAACCCAAGTTTGGTTCCACATTTTCCCTGGACTGCAACAATTTGATTGATCATGCAGATCCATCCAACTTACCTAATGTACATAACATACAACTTTATAAATTGTATTACCATATTGTGGTAGTGGTCAAAGCAGACTACCCTTAGTCATGTAATCCAGAAAAACAAAGTCTTGTTTGATATGAGTACACACATGCAGCAGAAATGATGGACATATATTCTAGCAGTAAATACAAGGATTTCACAGACACACACCTGGAAATTCAAATATCAATATATCATTGATATATTTATTTAGTTCAGCACCTCATAACATGATGTGACATTCTGCTTGACATGCTTGGTGTCTATTTACCCGACATGACCACGTCTTTTATATTTTACCAAAAATATGGGTAATAAATGGGTGTGGTTACTGGGGGTGTGGTCACTAAAGGGTGTGGCCACTGAGGGGTGTGGTCACTGAGGGGCGCTGTAAAGCTTTCTCGTACAGGGCGCCTAAAGGCCTAAGGCCGGCCCTGTCTTCACTAAATAAATATATCAATCGAATATTGATATTTGAATTTCCAAGTGCGTGCTGGTAAAATCCTTGTATTTAATGCTAGTGTTTGCACGGCCCCATCCCATGCGGTCACCTCGAGCACCACAGATACTTTTATGCTGTAAGACCGTAGGAGTGCGAATGGTATTTGGAACCTACGGACATACATACTAGACATACATAAATGAAGCTCTGTGCGTTACTCTACTGCTTAAGATACATATTCCAGGCAGTTTCCTAATCTCTGTTCCCTTTGCTTCTATATCATGGAAATATAAATAGATGGAATAATAAAATATTGCTTTTGAAAGGTTTTACTTGGTTTCTATAGATATTGCATACTCTTAGGAACTTGCTGTGGTAGAGCCTAGCTGAAAGGCTGCAAGTTAGATGAATATTTTAGATTTTGTGGAGACCTGCTTAGTGACTTTCCATCCAAGTTCAGATGATCTTAGGAATCTTTAGTTGCACACATACATGTGATATACTCTGTTATGTAGAGTAAAAATGTTATATGTTGTAGCTTACCAGTCATTAGGTGTGATGACTGCATATTTTTTCAGGCTAAATACTGCATGAACAAAATAAATATCTGTTGACCGCGCCATAAATACCATTTCCTTATAGCTTCCTGTGTACCAAACTGAAATCTCAATCAATGTTTTCAGCCTTCCCAGCTATCCTCTGTAAACTACAAATGTATGGGTGAGGAGTGGGGGAGGTGTTTGTAGTCTGGATCAGGAGAGCAGCCTAGGGTGACAACACTGACCCTCTATAGATACAGTGTGGTAATTGAGCTTTGTCACCTTAGGACAGGAAGCTTGTAAATGGCAGGAGCATTAGGTGAAAATAAAGGAAAAGAACTAAAAATAAATCTAATGCAGTCACCACATCACAGGACTTGCTGCCCAAGCTGGTATAACATGACAACAACTGAGGTTAAGCAATCATTGGTGTAAACAACGCTCCCCTTTACATGGGAATTGTAATTGCCCCAGAGCTTCTCTTATACAAAGCACAAACAAACAATTTTCGGAGAAGTTTGAATGCCCTTAATATTAATATTGTTTTGATAAGAGAAATTAAATAACGCTTATCTAAAACATGTAATGGATATACCAGTTATCCAATACAATTTCTGATCATGAGAAGTGGTATTTTCTTAAGCTGGGTATACATGGAGCACATTTTGGCCAATTCAGTAGGAATTGTCTAAAATTCAATCCGTTGGTGACCCTATCCCTTGACTCTTGATCATTAGAACAACTTTTGCCAAAGGAATATGTACAATGTACACAGCGGGAGATTCGTTCATCCATGCTGTTTAACGTGGATGGAGGAGTCTGTTCTTTGTTCAGCCCACAGACTGAATAATAAAAATATAACCGTGTGTGCCCAGCTTTAGACATACCTGACTTCCTATCACTAGCAACCTGTGTTCTGCTGAACCTGGTTGATTAGACTTGATTGAGACAATTGTATTGTATGTTTAAAGGAGAACTATGAGGTGAGTGATTTTCACTTATCCTCATAGTTAGAGCCAATGTGTGACAATTGAACTGCCACGCGTCGGCTCTATAGATCGGGAAGTGAGCGAACACATACCGTTGCTTGCTCACTTTCTGATCATCTCCCTGCAGAGAGCGCTAATTGGAGGAGCGGATGGAGGAGGGGGCAGGCACAGCTGGCTCTGCCTGTAGATAGGCAGAGCCAGCTGTCAATAAGCTAGCTGGGTGGATCTCGACAATATTGTCGGGATCCATCCCTGCTGCGGCGCTCTCAGTATATAGAGAGCTGCAGCTCGCTATATCTTGAGCTTTGGGTCCCAGGAGGACGGTAGTATATAGTCCTCCCGTGACCCTTTAGAGAACTATGGGATAAAAAGGGCACCCTTTTATCCCTTTTATCCCATAAGGGTACATACTTTCTATTCCTACGTTTAAATGTTGTTATTGGCTCTTTGACTTCTGTATTTCTTTTTCATTGGTCATTTATTTGCATTCAAAATGTGGAATAGGTGTATCTTCACCTTAATATGTAAATATATCAGACAGGTCTCCCAGTAACCATGCTTTTTATGCTAATACATATATCACTGTATAATATTTTGAATTTTTGTCACAATAAAACACTAATAGTGAACTACACAGGTATATAAATGTAAACGCACAATTTCTTTTTTTTTAGGTTACTACTTTTACCACCCTATTTTCCCCGGTGAGAGTCTTTAGCAGCACTCTATAAAACATTTGCTTCATGTTGTCCTCATAACATAAAATAAAAGTGAAAAGGCAAAAACCCTTCTCAGCGAGTGCACTTCAAAATGAGAACTCCACTCAATGGTCTTGGAAGAGGAGAGTTGAGACTGGTATTATCACTCAATTTCAGTCCCCATTCTCCCTTTTTTAAACTCCTCTCCCAAACAGAAGCTGCAAGAAAACTAGAACCAGCATGGTTCAATGAACTGCAATGGAAGAATGGGAACAAGGAGGCCATTGATATGATCACATCGGCCACAGGACAACTCCTCTGCTTAAAACTTTCAAGAGGAATTCCCCTTTAAAATTTCACTAAAGTGTAATCAGTGCTTTGTATAAAAAATATAAAAAAATTATAAAGTGCTACATTTAAACAATGTACCATACAGTAGTAATGCACATAAATTTGTTAGAGCAGCTAAGATGATAAAAAAAAATTGCTATTTAGCTATGCAATATGGTAAGTCAGTTCTAGGAATCTCAGATCTACCAAGCAATTCACAAATCGGTAAAACATAGCATAGTGGTAACTGACTGCTGTATATCACTGTCAGGAACTTCACAGCTCGTTATTCTTTGCTAAAACTTGGTTCTCTGATGTACAAAAAAAACCACTGCTCATTTACTAAAGCCTTCTATAGGAGTGTCACAGTGCAGCTTGTCAGTAGATAGAGATCACCTAATACACGTGTGTCTTTTCTTCAAACTTGTATTTTAATGCTTCATGTACTGCCAGGCTTCCATTGCTGATAATAATGTCTTCCGGCTTCTCCCGGGTATAGGTTACTGTACTTGAGTATCCATTGTGCAAACCATTTTTATCCTAAGAAAAAAAAAAGGCAAGGTTACCAATGCTCTAAAAAGTAAAGATGTTTAATGTATGAACTCTATTTATTGCCCTTCCTGGTCAACATCTACAGGATGCTCAACATTTTGACATGCATAAGGGACAGTCCATCCGAAAGAAACTTCGGCCAAACACTATTTAGAGGGTTATTCACAAAGCTGCGGCTGATCCTTCGGCTAGCTGCGGCTGCTGGAGCCCTTCGGTTCAGTGGAACCGAAGGGCTGCTGTACGGGCTATTCACTATAGCCCGTACAGCTCCCGAAGCTGGCCTAGCCGAAGGCAAATGCTTCGGCTCAACTGAGCCGAAGTGATCCCCCGGAGCAGGCCGAAAGCCTCACAACTGACAGCTGGGAGGAGCCAGCCGGTGTCTCACAGCTGGGTCCGCCCAGTTGCAATGACAGATCAGCATCCCCAGGTTACCTGGGTACGCTAAACTGTCATTGAGCAACGACAACTTGGCGGAGCTGGCCGTGACGTCACGGCTGGCTCCGCCCAGTTGTTATTCATTGGCCGGGACCTGCGCGAAGACTATAGGAAACATTTGGGTGAAGCTAGCTGTCACTGCTAGCTCCGCCCAATTGTTCATTTCTTTTTTCAATTTCTTTTTTCAATAATCTTTTATTTTTTGGGGGAAATCTTTATTTATGTTTGCACATTGATCTTTCATTTACATTTTTTTACACTGTTTTTCTATTCTGCTTGGTACCACGGATGTACCGAGCAGAGTAGCCGAGCCAAATGCCGCTCGGCGGCATTCGGCTATTCACTCACTACCGTTCGGCCCCTATGAGAATAGGCAGAACAGCAGCGAGTAGCCTGCCAGAGGTTCGGCTCAGTCGAACATGCTGAGCAGGTTCGGAGGAATCAAAGCCAGTCGAAGCAAGCTGATGTACGACTGATTTCAGCCGATGTACGGCTGAAATCAACTGTACAAGCCTGAAGTGAATAGCCGAACAGCGTTCGGCTCAGTTCACTTCGGGTCGGTTATTCACTCGGCTGCCTTCGGCAGCTTTGTGAATAACCCTCTTATTCATCATTCACATCCTATGGTCACACGGATCTCCTACCTCACTTCCCAGTTCAATATCTGCTGTGTTTAAATGTACTTAAAAGTACTTAATCAGCCCCTGGACACACAGATTTCTAAATTTTCTAAACACAGCTAAACTGAATGCGCCTAAATGCAAGTAAACACACTGTGTGCATTATACCATTTAAACTCACTAAATGCTTTCATTTGTGTTTATACATGTCATGTAAATGCATATAACCACATGCCATGTGTGAATGACGCCTTACTTTGAGTGGAGGGAACCTGGGGCACACCTTAGGTTTCACTAACTCCTTTCTTTAATCTCTCCTGTTTTGGGCAGAATTGATTTTAAAGTGTAAGTATGGTCAGATGTTTTCCTAGAGACACAAGAGGAAGTGAGAGGAAATCTCCCAAAGTGGAAGGAGTTCTACTCTTAGACAGGTGTCACTGAATGACTGCATATATCCGCTGAATGTACACAGAATGACAATGCAAATAATGCCACTATCACATATAAAATGTATTTTTAATATTCTCTTTGTGAACACTGACCTTCATTGATGTAGGCACCCTGTAACTAGATGAAGAGGTACTTTTGCTGTTACCAGTTTGCAGAATAATAGCTCTTATTATAAGTACAATGAAGAAACCAACTAAGAAAGTTGCAATAAAAGTAATAAAAAATATCTTCAGGTTCCACGGGTCTAAGAAGTATTCTGTTGGAAAATAACACATAGGTTACAAATAAGAGCGTCAATTGTTTATGTAGTTATTTATTAGGATTTACTCTATATTAATCTTTAGCATTTCTGAATAAAAGGTAAATCCCCAAATAAACATTTGCCTAACATGCCTAACACTCAACATAGAAATAACAAAAAATGCAGCCTTTGCTGCAATATTCACCTTCTTTTTGCTGCTTTAAACCACAAAAGCCTCACTTCTTTGTGTCGTGGCTGCTCCATGTCTGTGTTGAATGAAGCCAAGCATCATTCAACACATACCCAGCATCATTCAACCACTTTCTGTGAGCCCAGGTAGTCAATGACACACCCCCTGGGATTGCATCATCATGCAGCCCGGGTTCACAGTGTAATGCTACAGTAAAAAGCAACCATTCAGACGAGCCCCATTGAATGCAGCATTGAAGCCTGCCACCACCGATGTCAGAGAAAAGGAAGAGGTACCATAATTTATCACCTAAACTAGTGGATAAAAAAAGACACCTGTGAAAGGTGGAGTTGGGCTTTAATATGTAACAAGTTACACACCTGTAGTGAAAAGCTAAGGGATTGTACTGCCTGTTTACTCGATTGTGTGCCGATTTGTTGCGAGACCCTGCTGCCTAATAAAACAAGCGCCAAGATGGCCTGCCACAGCATGGAACACAGGGAGTCTTTTGGGTGACATTTCTTGATTATCAGGCAGCTAGACAGTTGATGACCAACCCAAGATTTTAGCAAGCAATATTCTTAACATCGGTGAATCTAAGTGTAGAAGACCCACACTGAGGTTAGGAGCACTCTCCTTGGAGGGTAACAGTTCTGTCAAGGTAGTGGATGCCTGTTCACAAAATCAAAATACAAAAAACAACCAGACTACTTATATAATGAATTAACAAAAAATAAAAAGCATGCTTTAGTTCAGCTTAGCGGAACAAAAACAGCAGAACAATAGCTATTTCACGGGATGAATTTCCTATGAGAACAGTACGTTTGGATGTGAACAAGGCAGTGTCGGGATGATAACAACATAACCTTGACATTCCAGTGACTCGACTCTGAGACATGCTGTGAAATATGTTATTCTGTACGATAATCTAAACTCCCTTATACATTGCCAATAGTGCATAAACTCTGCAGACAGGAGATGTAGAATCAGTGGCCGAAAAAAAAAGAAATCCTACAGCAGAAGTGGTTCTAGCTTTCCATTTGCACATATGAAAATATAGAACTAGAGATATGCAACAGCAACTTTATTGCTATAATTTCTTGGAGCGTGAACAGATTTCCAAGCTTGGGCTTAAAGTGTGACTTCAAAGACTTAAACATAATTGCTGGTGGCCAGAGAATGAGTCTGAACTTTGACAAAGCTGAAGAGTTGTGCTTATTTTTTAAAGCAGCATCTAGATGGTATGCAGTCATGAACCTTAAAGGAGAACTATGGGGTCAGTGTTTTTCCCCATAGTTCTCCTTAGGGTAACGAGAGGACACAAACTAGCATCCTCCCATTACCCTAAGCTCAGTATACCGCGAGCTACAGCTCGCGGTATACTGAGACGCCGCAGCCGGAGCGGATCCCGACATGGACGCCGAGATCCGCCCTGCTGCGTGAGTGACAGCTGGCTCTGCCTATCTAGAGGCAGAGCCAGCTGTACCCGCCCCGTCTGTTCCGCCAGTCAGCGCTGGCAGATCGGAGCGGGGAGAGGGGAATCCAGCCCCTCCCCCTGCCACGGCAGAGAGCCGTGACAGGATGGAGAGGTGAGCGAACCCGTTATGTGTTCGCTCACCTCCCGATCTACTGAGCCGACCTGTAACAGTCTCATTGTCACAGGCCGGCTAGAACTATGAAGTGAGTGGAATCACTCATCTCATAGTTCTACTTTAATGTAAGACAATTCATCAAAATGTTCATTATGAGAGCAACAACTGATACTTGAACAAGAACCACTTATGATTGGGTTTATAGAGGAAGCTAAATATTCAACTGATAAGTATTATAATTGTTCAGATCTACCCACTATCTTACTTAGATTTACATACTTTGAATCTACCACTTGACACTCAGAACTCCTCTCCCAAGACCTGTGAACACCTTCAATCCTTCGCTGAATGTAATAGAATTCCCCAGAGGCTTATTCAGGGCTAACATTGGTGATGCATTTAAAACCAGTATTTGGAAGAAAACTGTCAAGAAGGCTTCCATTACTGTGCTCTTATTCTAAAAACGATAGTTGCCTGGCAATCACGGTGTCCCTTTTCTTCAAATCTTTGAATCCTTGGCAAGTATGCAGAAAAAAAGACTTATGATTTCACTCCTGATTTACATCCAAACATTCTGCATTTATTGAATCAGCATAACAACTAGGCAACTGCTCTCAGCAGGTCAGCAATGGCAGTCATTGTATTTCCAACATGACAGGTATTATTTACCCAGTCTACTTGCTTACTCAAAATAAATTATCTGAAGGATCATTCCAAACAAAACTAATATTTCATTTTTTGATAAATGATATAGATAGATTTTGATCTAGTATCTTTCGGCAACTTCTTTGGAGAAATATCTCTTGAGTTCCTGGCTCTGCACACTGATGTTGTGGGGCTCTCACTCTTCCTGTTGGATTTTAATTTAGATAATGTATAATCAAGAGATGCTGGAACATCCAAAACTACCAAGTGGGCATGAGTTGGGAATCATGATAGGTAGACCTCACTGTTGAAATATTCAGGAAAATAGGAAACCAGAGGATTTCTCAGTTTCTCAGTCCCACCTATAATTCACATATTACTATTATAATTGTATTTTTTAATATTACTAGCAATCATTTTTTATGTAATATTAAAAGTTATTAAGTGGAATGACCCTTTATTGGAGGTGCCCAAATCTTTACTTTGATCCTCCACCAGTTATTGAAAAGAATGTTAATCCGCACCTGTGCCCATGGACATTAAACTATTTACAAAATAGTTTTAAAGCCTGTGTTGTGAGCTGTAAAAATTAATTTCTTCAAAATGTGTATAGATGGAAAGATGAATGAGGGTTTCGTTCATAGTCCTTTTACTGCTTGTTAAGAATATGTAAATACTTTAATGTGCATAGTCTGGGCACAGCTGCACTTTAAAGCTGAACTTTTGCAAACAGCGATCCGTTCCAGAGCCTTACCCAGCCTTGCCACACAGTACAGACAGGTGGATGATACCACTTTCTCTGCAGTCTACAGTTACAATTATTGACTTTAGAAGTGATACAGTGGTGTCCTCTCCTCAACCCCAAGTCTGCTGACTTGGAAGTAAAGGACCAGCCACAAAATTATGAGGTCATCCCTCTGCTCACTCTTCTCACATATCTCAGCATGTTCCTCATCACACATTTTGCAACATCTGTGTGATCTGGACATAGGTTCACTATAATCCAAATAAACTGGTGAGCTACTTTACTTCTCACTTACTATTTATTTTGTGGAATGAAAATAACAAAAGTTTATTACTTATGTTCGAAGGTAATCACATCAATAAAGTTATCTAACTGATGACTATATTTCTATGAATTCGGGTCATACATGGCTAGTTTTATTGGGCGTGCACATTATTTTAAGGTAACCTTTCTGCAGTATAGTTTGAGCTTTCAGTAGGTAGCTGTGTAGTGCCTAATTACTCCGTGTAGAGATAGCCTTCTGATAATACTGAGGGCTGTAAGTTGTCTGTCATTGACTTGTAAGATTGTAATTACTTCATCTAACTCCCCTGACTTCCTAAACATAATAGAATGTTGTTAATAAACCAGAGGAGGAACAGCCTGTGCCTGATACCACAAGACCTTTTGATAACCTTAGCATTTTTTGAAATAATGAAATATTGCATTGGTGTAAGGCTACAAATTAGCAGACATTCAGTTTATCAGACAGTGTGACCTTGCCATTGATGATGAACTTCAAGATCTTTGAAGTATATACATGGGGTCTGGAATTTATTGAGACATAACCATTTCTTAGGCTACACAGCTGTCTTCATGTTAGGCAGCAGGTAAATAAACTTTGCTTTGTTTTCTCCCTATTATGGTGAATGTCAGAGACATTTCTGCCCTTTTTTTACAAGCTGAAAACTCACTAGTGTCCTCCAGGACATGCAACTGTTGATGATGAATGAAAATGATGAACCTTTAAATATATTGTCTAATTTGAATATAAAGGTTTTTATAAACTGACATTTTCAGCTCTATTTCAGTAGAAAAAGGTAAGCTGCAGTAACACATGGCAACCATTCAGAATCCCTTCATCACTGGTCAGACATTGGTAAAGTTGCTATACTAGACATTACTGAATTATCTTGTTTACCCAGGGGTGTATCTGCCGTGAGGCAAACAAGGCGTTTGCCTTGGGTGGCAGTTTTCACTGGGCGGTAAAAATGCCGCCCCCCAAAACAGTTATGCAGCCAGGCGGAGGAGGCAGAGGAGTCAGCGAGGGGCGGCGGTGGAGGAGGCGGAAGAGGTGGAGCAGAAGGGGAAGAGGTGGAGCAGCAGGAGGGGCGGGGTGAGGCCGGGCAACAAAGGGACTTCGAATCAGTAAGGGGCGGGGCCAGGGTGCCATCGCGCCATAGGAAGCCGGGTAACCGAAGAGCTGCCAGGCTGAGGAGGAGGCCAGGTCCTGCAGCACCAGTCCAGCGGTGGAGGAGACCGGGGACCAATCAGCAGGTAAGAGGATCACACTGCTGCTAAAGGGACCCTGCAGAGCCCAGCATGGATTCTGCACAGTCCACCTGGGAGTCTCAGGTGGTCTGTTCAGGATTTGTGGTGGGCTCTATGGGGTCTATGGTTGGCAGAGCCCACCACACATCCTGCACAGCCCCCCGAGATCCTGCAGATTTAGTGTGGGGGTGGTGCCCGAGTTTCGTCTTGCCTAGGGCAGCCCCAAACCACAATACACCACTGAGTTTACCCATGAATGGTGGGCTGAATTACTACATAATCATGTGTAAACTCCAGCCACATGACATTCCTGTACAAAATACCGGACCCTAACGTTTCCTGCTTTATTCTCCACAATAAAAAATAAATCAAGACAATAAGAGTTACACTCCCCCCTTTCCCCTCAAAGAGGTTGTGGCTGGTGGGTGGAGTTGGGAACTCATACAGAGATCTAATTTCTGAAGTCCCTAAGAAATATAGGAAAAGGATAAATGATTCATTTTTTCCACCATCAAACAATAAAAGAAGCATTTTATTGTGACTGATCCATTAGGAATGTGAGCTACATGGATAGATTTTCATTACATTAGATTCATTTTTATATGAGATCGCCAGGCCAGTTTCAGTATAGCTCTTTGCCATCACACAACAATACAACTCCTGCCATTAGCAAACGTTTTGGCATCCCTTGTCGAATTAACAGCCTCCTTATGTCTCTTGAAGCCAGCTAACAGTCTTACTAATCTTTTTTAAAGAAGAATTATTTCCACAACATGTGCTTTTATTTCCCATCCACTGCAGAGATCTAAACAGGATCAAGTGCCATGTGCGCCTGGTCCCCTGGGGATTCAACAAGGTTTTGTTTTTTTATGTTCTGGTGATACTTCTTCTATAAAGTGTATTTCCACTTTTGATGCCAAATTGGGATAACACCTATTTTAATGTTGTTACATGTTTCTCATTGACATAACTTTTTTTTTATTTGCTGCTTGCATGTTACATGCTCTATTTTGAAAGAAAAATGTTCTCTGTACTGAGTTTTGCTTTACTATGCAGGTTAATGTTAACCCTGTCTGTACTGTGCTGGCAGATCTCCTTATCATTTGTAAACTAGATTTGAACACTGTCTGTCCTATCAAAGGGTTAGAAGCATTGTATATTAATAAGAGGAAGCTCTGTCCCTAGTCTTTCTGTGGGGACAGACATAGTTTCCTATAACCTGGAAATCAGGAGGGAAGCTTGCAAAGGCCAGCTAAATAGACATCTAAAAGGAAGGTTTTTTTTTTCTTTTTAGGTATTCTGTGTGAATGGGAACAAATAACAAACATACTGTACTGAGCGCTTTTCTCAAATTTGACTGCAGAAGTGGATTACACTTTAAGGAATGTCTTTCCACTCTTTCTTGCAAACACTGCAAAATATTCACTATTCAGTAAATAGTCATCTTGCACATGTGAGCTCTACCTACAGATTTTCAATAGCTCATAATAATTAATTTTATAATTATTGTTTACCTGAATGCAAAGACAACACAACATCTTTAAAGGTCAAGGTTAAAAATTACATATTTTATGCACGTTTTAATGCCCAGTTACTAGTTGCTCAATTGAATTATTATTAAAACTCACATATGCAAGATTGCCTAAGAATATTTTTCAAAATGTTCTGCAAGAACACTTTTTTGTGAAGATTTTTTGTATCAGCGACCAAACATTTTATTATATTTATAAGGAAAGAGGCTTATATAATGTACACAGACCAACATACATGTGACCAACATACCTGAAGTCTGATCCATATAATAGACCAGTGTGTTCCATTTGGTTTTGTAAGGATTAATTGGATAGATAGTGCGGTTCAAAGAATGTTGAGCTTGCTCACAATTCCTGTGTATTACACAACAAACATCACATTTGTTTTTGTAGTCAGGTTTCTAGATGACAGAATACTATATTCACTGTTATGTTATGGCTCTTGAGTTGGTCTCGAATGTCATTTTTTTTTTCAGTCAAAGGAAGCCTTTTTTGAGAAAATATTCAGGCTGCTATATCTAAACTCTCCTTTTTGACCGCCAAAAGGTGAAGAATTCCAACGCTTTCTCAGCTGTTCCAGGGCAGATCGGAATCACAGATCGTATGTGCAGGAGAACCGATCTGCCCTGGAACAGCTGATCGGTCCTGACATGTCACTTCTATTCGACTATCCGCAAAGTCAGAGGGGGTGATTTACTAACCTAAACACACGCACGCACCAGGTGCGTGTGATTTTCACACTGCAAAACGTATTTATCAACCAAAAAGTCTCTAAAAGCATATTTCCACTAATGCCATATATGGAAAAATCATGCACATGATGCATATATAATGCTGCTTCACAGTTTAGACAAAAATGGTTAGCTCATGCATTTACATTCCTGCATTCATCAACGCAAGCAACACAATGTAGAGCTAATTTACACAACATCACCTTGCAAATTCATGCTTGGCTTTGCACAACACACCTGCTGGGTGTGTACACACTACAAAGGTGTTTAGATTCCACCCATAGACCATGCTGGGAGGGAACACACTACAGAGGTGTATACATGTTCGTGGTGTGTTTATAAGGTTAGTAAATCAACCCCAGAGAGTCACAAAGTGTACAAGTGACATTTCAGGACCGATCAGCTGTTCCAGGGCAGATCGGTTCTCCTGCACATACGATCAGTGATGCCGATCTGCCCTGGAACAGCTGAGAAAGCGTTGGACTTCTTGACCTATTGGCGGTCACACATTCCACCGCTGTAAAACTGGGCGGGATTACGTTAAAATGTGTGACCACATCACCGGTCACACATTCTAACATAGTTACAAACTTTGATAGAACAGGGTGTCCCATAAAATCCTAATAAATCTTAAGTACGAAAACCCAGAGCAAAAATGTATTTGATAGCATGTATGGCCATCTTTACTCTCTCCATGGATGGAAACATATTTCCTTGAAAATGGTAGGACAGTTTACTGTTAAATAAATGTTTCTCCCTTTTGCACATGAAACAATCAGCGCATAATGGAAGTGTAATGTAAACTGCTTGCTTCTGACCAATGTTTATTAGCTGTCAGATACAACATACTGTACATATAATATAATACATCTAAGCTCTGATAGAGTGTTACTAGAAAATTAGTTTATAATACAAACCGTACCAGTTGTCTGTACAAGTATTGCTACATCCATAGCAGTATTGACACAAAGGTCCAAAGCTTTTGTCATCAGTGCACTCGCATTTTCCACACATGCAAGTCCCCCTACCACTGCATAAAAGTCCATTTGTGTTCATACAGTGTTTCTTTGATGAGGAACATTGACATCGGTCACCTTCCCAGCCATTGAAGCATTTACAAACGCCATTTTCACATTCCCCATTACCTGACACAAGGAAAGAAAACTGTTTAGTGTAAAATTCTGCTCAAACTCAAGAAACTGTTAAATACGAGATAAGGATGTTTTTAACATATATGACAGTGAGATTTGGCAAAACAAGCAAGAGGACAGGTAAATATTTTTTTCCTTTGCAGGCTTACCTCTGTTTAAAGGAGAACTATGAGGTGAGTGCTTTTCACTCACCTCATAGTTCTAGCCGACCTGTGACAATGAGACTGTCACAGGTCGGCTAGAACTATGAGGTGAGTGAAAAGCACTCACCTCATAGTTCTAGCCGACCTGTGACAATGAGACTGTCACAGGTCGGCTAGAACTATGAGGTGAGTGAAAAGCACTCACCTCATAGTTCTAGCCGACCTGTGACAATGAGACTGTCACAGGTCGGCTCAGTAGATCGGGAGGGGAGCGAACACATACCGGGTTCGCTCACCTCTCGATCCTGTCACGGCTGTCTGCTGTGACAGGACTGGATTCCCCCCTCCCCGCTCCGATCCTCCAGCGCTGACTGGCGGAACGGACGGGGGTGGGGGCGGGTACAGTTGGCTCTGCCTCTAGATAGGCAGAGCCAGCTGTCAGTCACGCAGCTGGGCGGATCCTGGCACAGTTGTCGGGATCCGCTTCAGCAGCAGCTCGCGGTATACTGAACGCTAGTTTGTGTCCTCCCGTTACCCTAAGGAGAACTATGGGGAAAAGCCTTAACCCGATAGTTCTCCTTTAATTATTTTTGGAAGTATTAGAGTTTAACAAATATTTCAGACTAAAATAGCTAAAATTGTTGTGCGTAGTCTTAAAAGTTGAACTCTACTAGCAATATTGGCATTAAACTGAGCCCATGACATAGCCCTAGTGTTATTTGTAAGAAAAAAAGAACCAGAAACCATTATGGGTAAAAAAAAGAACAAGAAAACTTGCCTAAGCGATACCCACATGATATAATAGGAGCCCCTTGTCCTCAGACTGTCATAGTTTTCAATGTCAGGAAGCACAGATACAACCTGTTGTTTAGATACAGTATGTACTAGTAGGAGGGCAAGATAACTTGTTTCTCAGCTTTTATCTTTTTGAGTGTCTAAATTGTTCCCAATGACTTCTATGTCTTTAACTCAAGGAAGAAGAAGGAACAGATCAAGTCCTCTCACTGGTCACCGTGACAAGGATTTTCAAGAGATAAGTTAGCAAAATAGGTGTTGGGTGCCAAGTAACACCTTATCCGTGCCTAACTGAATTGAGGCTTCAATACATAGTAATATATTGTGGCTTCCTAAAGTTTCCTTTGGCTCTTAGATTATGCTGACTGGCTCTTATATTTTGTAAATTACATTGTTGATTGTTGGATTGTGCTTAAAGGCAGTCTGGGGAAATTGTGTAGCATGGGAAACAACTGACCTGGATGACAGGCTTCATGTCCATGTGTGGTAGCAGACTTCTGCAGACACCACAGGCTAAGTGATCTTGGAAGAAACTGGGCAAGTTATATATTTTTAACTCAATACTCCTTGGAATTAAGCTTGTAGAAGCTGGTTCATGTTCCCTTTCCTGTCTCCATTAACACAAACATGTACATTCAGATGATCCAAGACCGCATGTTTCTATCAAAAATAGTTTAAAAAAACGATTCCTCCAGTCATGTCATGTTTGTGAGTCCAACTCCTCTATAATGTCTATGGCACATTTTAGCATTGCTTTGGCTATTTTTTTAAGAAGTCCTTTCTACAATGTCATTTACAAGATTATCTGTAATTCATAAGCCAAAGACATTCCAGTGTAAATGATCCTGGTCTAGGGATGTCTTGAAAAAACATTCACAATTTCTAATGTAATTCAGTGGTGTTTTTAATGGCTCCCCTGCAGAGGATTTTGTGGTTAAAATAACAAACAGCTCAAATCATTTACAATATAGTGCTTAGCTCTCATAGTTTATGCCCTATCACACGCTGTGAATAACATACACGTTCACAGCTTAGATGAGTTCGGAGCAGGAGGGGAGCTGTGGACTCTGTACACAGCCATAGAGAGGGAGTACTAAATCAGTGAAGCATTGCATGCCTTCATTTCCTGAGAATGCAGTTCAGAATTATTATACAGGACAGTTCACTTCTAACTCCTGACCTATTACCAGATGTACACTTTTGATAATACATGAAAGCCTGGGTGTTCCTACGTAAAACAGAAACACAGAAAGCACCTTGTAACCCACATTATACAATGGGAACACTGCAGGAAGAATGAACAAAATGCATGCATAATACACTGAGTGGCCAGATTATTATGACCACCCCATCAGTACTTCGTTGGGCCGCCTCGTGACTCCACGAGATTTTGAAAGGTGATGCGAGGAGTCTGACACTGCTTGAGCGCCAACAATCATCCCACGTTCAAAGGCTGTTAAATCGCGTTGTTTACCCATATGTTCAGAAAAAAATCACTTTTCCTGTCGTGGTAAACAACCTGCTTCCCTATTTATAATGGTCTGGCCCTCTAGCAACTTCAGCGGTCATAATAATATGGCCACTCAGTGGATATGTTTCATGGTTAATGAGAAATACCCAGGCCCACAACAGAACTACACTTTATTGAGCTTGGAAAATGAGACTGTTGCTTAAATCTCTGTACCTTGTCTTCCCAGGAGCCAAAGAAAAAAAGTTTTTTTTTAGAGTATAAGGGTTTGTTCACACCAGCTCATATGCTAAAAAAAAAAAATCAATTTTAGCATTCTGGCTGGTGTCCCAGAGCGCTATTGTTAGAGCAAATAGGTGGCTAAACTAAGAGCTGCAGTTAGCCATAAGGACATAGCTTTTGCTTCCTGTTTTGTCCCTCCAGCCCCACCCAGAGCTAACTAGAGTTTCTGCACTTCATCGTAATACAAAATAGGCCTCTTCAATAACACATCCCGCAATGCAATGACCTATGCCTAACTGACCATCAAAAATGAATGATCGTATGTAGTACTTCATATATACCCCAAAGCATGTGTTTAGGAAAGAAAGAAGTGAGGGATGGTACGTGATCATATTGAGGGTAATTCATTATGACACTTTTATGGCATCATAGCCGTATTAGAAAGTCCTGCGCCAAATTCATGAAGGCCGTGCAACAGTTTTCTTAATGTTTTCAACACGTGCCACAGATTCAGGTACTGCCTATATTCTGGCTGTATGGCTGCAACAAATTTATTTAGAGATATTGCCATACCGGTGATAAGAATAGTGGATGTAAATAAAACCTTCATGTTGGATTAAATTGTGAGCATGTGTAGGTGTTGTGTCATATAATGTTTCATATATGACTTACCAAGATGTGCCATTTGTTATACAGGGATTGTGCTATATATAATGTAATATATATATAGATATATAGCTATATAGGTAGCCCTCGGTTTTCACCGCTTCTGTTAGCGCCGATTCAAAATAGCGCCGTTTTCGGCCAGTCACGTGACCGTCATTGAAACAACAGCGCCACCTAGTGTATCCTTCCTCCGCAGACCTCAGCTGCAGAAGGATACGCAGGGGAACATTATACAGTACAACTGCAACTGACTATAATACAACAGCACAGTGCTGTGCAAAGTCTCTGCCAGCTAGATCGTGGCACAGGTGGAGGATTGCAGCTCAGGAAGGGGCTCAAAAAACTGTGGACACCTACAGAAGGACACTTGGAGATATGGTGGTCCACACATGGAGATGCACTGGTGGCACAGGGATACTAATGGAGATGTACACAGGCACATAGAGACATGCTGGAGGCACAGGGGGTACATTTGGAGCTACAGAAGAGCACACAGGTACACTTGGACATACACAGGAGCACAGTGGTACACTTGGAGATATGAAGGAGCACAGGGATTGATTCAGAAATATGGAGGAGCACAGACTTAAACTCGGAGGTATGGAGAAGCACAGGGTTAAACTTGGAGATACAGTGGAACACAGGAGGTACACTTAGAGATATGCAGGAGCACAGGAGTACACTTGGAGATATGGAGGAGCCCAGGGTTACACTTGAAGATATGGAGGAGCACAGGAGGTACACTTGGAGATATGCAGGAGCACATGAGTACACTTGGAGATATGGAGGAGCACAGGGTTAAACTTGGAGATTTGGAGAAGCACAGGGTTAAGTTCGGAGATATGGAGGAGTACAGGGTTAGACTTGGAGATAAGGAGGAGCACAGGGGGTACACTTGGAGATATGGAGGAACACAGGGGTACACTTGGAGATATTATGGAGGAGCACAGGAGTACAGGATATAGAGTATTATAACCCCCTCACTTCCCATTGACTTACATTATATACTGGATAACAATTTACATTTCTATTTGCAGCCATTTCTACTGGAACCTAACCTTGGCAGGTATTTGCAATACTTTCCAATGTTCTCATGTTAAAATGAAGCCACAATAATTAAAGTACACGGTGTTGCTATTACGTCTGTGGTTCTCAGGTCAGCACTGTTCATGCAGAAAGTGATTCATTTTCAGAATCTCCTAACAGGATATTTCACTTAGAAACATTGCACTGCTGACCATAATAATGTACAATAACCAGCTGTTAAATATCTAGCAGCTTCAGGGTATTCCAAAATCAAAAGTTTTACTTTACTTAGGAAACAAATCCTATTTTAATAACTTTATTAAAAGAAAAAAAAAATATTTCTGTATTTCTTACATCCTTACATCCTAAAAATTACTCTGGTTTAATGTCATTGTGGTGTTGGGTGAAAAAATAATATTCAAGAGATAATTTTATTTTCTGGATTTAAACTGGCCAGATTTTGCAAGTCGTATTAGACTTGTGCTTAGTTGAGGCAGCCTTTGTATTTTGTTCCTTAAAACCTTACCAAAACATGATCACAAGCACTAGTACTGGCAGATTACCCCAAGGAAAAAGTGCCATAAATATTTGTCAACATTCCAGTTCTGTGCATATGCACTATATAGGCCAAAGGAATAATCCCAAGAAAAATCGCAATCCGGTCATACTACCCTGTTTCCCCCTGAATAATAAGACCTACCCCCAAATTAAGACCTAGTACCATTTTTGGGAATTGCTCAAATATAAGACCTAGTTGTGACCATTCCCAGGGCTGGTGGTGGCTTAAGGGGGAACTTGAAGAGCTGCGGGAGAGAATCAGCGGTACCAGCAAAGCCAGCGCTAGAGGAAGCGAGGCTGCAACGCAGGGAGCAGAGCCGCATAAGCCGATGTTTCCACTATAGCGCGCTTCGCTCATTCTGGTTACCAAATTGCTCTTGGAAACGTATGGCACCCCTGATTACCCTGATCACCCTATTCCTAATTTTGCCATTTTGGATTATTTAATTTGGATTTGCATTAACTTTGGATTGTTATACATTAAAAAAAAAATAAGACCTACCCCGAAAATAAGACCCAGTGTGTTTTTTTGAGCCACAAAAAATATAAGACAGTGTCTTATTTTTGGGGAAAGACGTTGCTAAATGGTGCAAATATGTACTTTGCCAGTGCAGGTTTGTTTTATTGCCCTATATTAGGGATTGTTCTAATGCCCTATTTTAAAAGGTGGATTTCCAGTTTTCCTGAAGATTCCTTTACACACTAATGCTAACTCTGTCCTTAAATTATATTCTTAAAAATTTACCCACACCAACAAAATGCTCCGAATCATGATGCAGTCACTGATTTACAATGATTGGGTAGGCCACATCCTTCAGAATACCCCAAAATGGATGCTTTGCAGTGATCATGTATACAATATTAAAAACAAGCAACAAAAACAACACAAACCTTCTAACATTTTCAAGCTACTTACCTGAACACAGTTTTCCTTGGTTGTATGGACAAGAAAAGTAATCCATTTCACAGTATTTCCCATATATTTTTCCCAGTTTGGTTTCATGACAGTAGCATTTTCCGCATAGACATATTCCCCGACCACTGCACTCGGGTTCGGTGGGGGAGTGCTTACATGTTCCTGACAGATGCGCATATTCTCCCAAGCTACAGTTACTGTCTCTACATGGAACTCCAGGGCAGTCCGGATGGACCTCAGTTATACACTTATGCTCCTTTTGCCTTAATGGGCTGTTACACTGACATGTGCAAGTCCTGTGTATCTTTATTTTTACGGTTTCATTGAAACCAATGGGTTTGAGGATGATGTAGTTGTGTCCGCCTTCTACATCACAATTGTCCATTGTAATTGTTACATTAAATAGAACCTAAACAGCAAAAATGGCAGTATTAATTACAAATCATAATAAAATACTAGTATTCAAGGAGGTATATAGAAGGCGTTATAGCAATTATACTAAACACATGTCATACCAGGTTTCACCAACAGGTGGCACCACAGACAAAATATTTAACTAAAGCATATAGTTTAGAAGATGATAGAATCCTTTTCACTTGCTGCTCAGAGGGACCCCAAAACAGAGAAGATGTTAGGGTAGAACTCCAATGTAAATGAGTATCTGAATACAAAGCATTTCCTTACAGTAAACCTATCACAAACCTGTATAAATCAAGTTAAGCATATGAACAGATGTGATAATTGTAAAATTGGCAGATCTGGAGATAAGGAAAACTTAAATGAAACTTAAATTAAATGCCAATCTTGACTTTTCCTGTATAAGTCGAGCTTGGCTCTACCTCTACCATCTCCCTAGCTTTCCAAATGGTCAATTAATATGATGGGTGGCCTATGTGAACTGAATCACCTGGTTCTAACCTTTAACATGCCTGGATAAATGACTCATCTTTCAGGCAGTTATAAGTATGTTAATATGAAAGGAATGTAAATGTTGTAATGAAAGTAAGTACTCTAACTCCACTTGTGAAAAAGTTTTTAGCACGGCAACCAGTTCCCAGCATAATATCGTTGTAGGTTACAATAAATCTAAAGGCTAAACCTTGTTTAAGCTTGTTATAGAAGTGAGGGGTTAGAACTTCTGTCAGGTTTGTAATCCTCAAAAGCAAAAAGTGGCCAAAGGTCATATCTCAAGTTTTTACTGAGATCTTTATTATAATAACAACATAGCTTGTGCATAAAAAAGAGACACAGATAGACGTCTATCACCTTGAGAAAGGGGACCATAGTGTCTCCAAAATGTCCATGTTTTATATTTTTTTGCTGCATAACCTATGTTGTTAATATAACAAAAGATGTGCACCCTCTTCAAGGTGCAAAAGGTGAGTATGTAGGATGGATATTTCCTTGGGTTGTAATCTGGGCTGTCGCTATAATGAAATAGCCCAAGGCTGTTGCCTCAGGTGGCATCTTTTTGGGTCATGTGGGTGGAGGTGGCAGGCAGCCAGGTGGGGAAATGTGTAAGGGCCACACACATCTCCCCACCCAGTTCTTAGCAACCTGCTCAGCTCAGCTCTTACCAATCTACTTTGCTCAGCTCCTGGCAGCCACTGTTATAGCTATCGTCTATCGGCTATCGTCTATAGCAGGGGTCTCAAACTCAATTTAGTCGGGGGCCACTGGACACATTTTTTAGTCCCGTGGGGGTACTGTATACAGTACCAGCTTTAATGTATGCACATGTTACAAGCGGCAACTGTCACCGATTCAAATGAATGATCGGGTGACAGCTGCTGCATGTAAACGCCTGCACACTGCATGTAATCATATGTGAAAGGATTACATGCAGTTAGGAATCAATCACTATCCCTGGATACACAATTGTGTATCCAGGGATAGTGATTGTTTTTGTAACTGCATGTAATCACATCACATACGATGACATGCGTATGCAGGTATGTATATGCAGCAGCTGTCACCCGATCATTAATTTGAATCAGTGACAGTTGCTGCATGTAAACGCCAGATTAGGGATTCCTGCTGCATGAAAATGCAAGTTTGTGACACAGGAATCCCTAATCGCACCTGAAATATAGGGCACTCCCCCCCCATTCCAATCACCCACGCACACATAATAATACACCCCCCCTTCCAATCCCCCCCTCACACATAAGAATACACTCCCTCCTCCCACCGCACACATTTAATACACTGCCCCCCAGCACATATAATATTAAACTTCCTCCCAAGCTCCCAGAACACATATTAACCCCCCC